CAAACCAAACACTGACTGTAGATACTTTTTTTTTACTTGGGCATCGTCCCACCCTTATGCTATGTGCCCACCTCATTCAGCTATTTTGGTGGGTCATCTCGGCTCCAGGAAAAGCGCAGTGGAGCTCTTTGCTTGACGGAATTGGATGGAACCACCAAAACAACACTGAGGAAAGCCAAGAACAGTTAATAGTCTCATGATTACTGAAATGTTCCAACAATGGCGTATGTCAAGAATTTATCTAAACAACAGCGGCAAAGGCTCTTCATAATTATACATTTAGGAGGGAATGGGTTTTAAAAAAAGTCATGCTAGATTAATATAAGAGCTGATATGATTAGTTCATTATTATTGCATCATTTCTGGATGCGCAGGGCCCTGCCATCAGATTAACATTAATAAGTATGCAATGTCCAGTTACACTTTCAAAATAAAGCTTGTATAGTTCACTTTGAGAAATGTGTAGTGAGTAGTTTGGTTAGGTTTAGGCACAAAAACTACTTCCTTTGGTTTGGGATAAGATTGTAAGCTACAGTATGTACCTGATGTGACTTAAGTACATTACATAAGTAAAAATAAATTGTTTACTATTGGTTTTACACAGGATACCTCCATGCATCTTTCTCACTCTTTAAACTACGTCACTTGACTTTGACGGACGGCGGCCACATCCTGAAATTATGCTAGCGGGATACCTACAGCGTCATATTTTGAAATGGCCACTGACCAAGTGACAGTATTTGAAGACTTCAGAGTGAGACCAGGTTGACTGTACAGTGCTACTGTTCTGTGTTGATTCAAGATAAAGTCATGGCTCCATGCAGGCTTTAGGACATGCATAAAAGACATTGGCTGTTATGAGATAAAAAGAGCTTTTATTCAGCTGTTGAGCTATATCTGCTGTTTTGAAGGTCTTATGTGTTTATGTGATTTTAAAGTGCACACACAACACATCTTCAGTTATCTAATAGAAAATAAATAACTGGGATCTTTCGTCTTTGCTCTGAGTTATTGTATTGCTTTATGCAGCTTATCAGCTAGAGTATTGTAATGTACAATACATTCCTCTGATAATGTGGAGCACCGATAAAGCTGCAGTATGGGCTTCATGTTTGATTAATGTCACCACAGCCAGGAAGTGAATAAGAGCAGCAGTATCAACAAGAGACATAAAGCATGAGAAACATAAACTGCTGTGGGAAGCCAGTTGGGGATCATGTTCAGCA